TCCACCTTCAAGTTTCATTCCTAAGTGTGATTTTAAAACATAAATTTGTGTACTTGGGAGGAATCGATGAGAGCAAAGCTGTGTTTGTGGATGGGAGGTGATGGCAGAGTTTGGAGGCTGTGGCAGATCACTCTGGTGGGTGCCCAGCTGGGTCTTGGGCATGAGGTGTGTTGGTCTCTGTGGGTTGTACCTCCCTCTGGCTGCAGATTCAGGTGGTCTGTGTGTGAGCCCAGTGCAGGGAATCTGGCCCTGTGCTGGAGCTGTCCAAGAGCTGTGAGCCCTTCCAACAGAGATCTTGGGTCCTGGGGGTGGGTGTGCTACAGTCAGCTGCCATGTCTTGTCACATTTTAATTGAAGATGGTTTTCCTGCTTTTCCTTATAGTGGAAAACAAGTGACTTGTGTTGTGAAATGAGATGAAATGCTTTACTGTTTCAGGTTGCCACGATATCAGCAAATGGAGATCAGGAAATCGGGAATATAATCTCTGATGCAATGAAAAAAGTGGGACGAAAGGGTGTGATCACTGTCAAGGTAAAAACTGGCCAACATACAGACTAAGTGCAAAGTGACTGTCTTTTCTCCAGTTAGGGCTGTTTTTTGTCTCATGGAATGTAGCTGCTGCATAGTCTCCCACTGTAATTCCTCCCCATCTCCCTTAGATCAGGGTTTGAACATTGTTCCTTCTATTTGGAAAAGAAGCACATGAAAACTGGTGTGTGGTTCAGAGGCTGTCATTCTGTTGTGCATAGTATGCTAAAATTACACTTGTGCTTTTGCTAACAAAGAAGGGATCTTTTAATGTAGACTTTCTTGCATCTAAACAGGATGGAAAAACTCTAAATGATGAATTGGAAATCATTGAGGGTATGAAATTTGACAGAGGCTACATCTCTCCATATTTTATTAACACAACCAAAGGTGAGTTACCAATAACCCATGTCATATACCCTACAGTGGTAAATTACAATAATTTTGTAATTTTGTAAATTACAAATAATTATAATTATGCTTTACAGTCCCTTATGCTTGTGCCACAGCAAGTAGGGCAGGGGGTCCTTCCTCATCAGGAAATTTTAACTTGGTAAAAGCTTGGAGTTTTGGGGGTTCGTTTTCCTCTCTGCACAAAGAGTGGACAGCTAACATCAGACTGGACCTGCAAGAACAATGCAGGACTGAAAGTGGGGTCTTGGAGAAAAAAATTTGTCTCATTTTTTAATGCATTTTGAAAAAGTGCAGCTGTTGCTCCAAAATAGCTGTTGAAGTTAAAAGAATGCTTGGTGGGTTTGTAATGGAATTGTTTAGATAATGTGTGTTGTTTCTGCAGGGCAGAAATGTGAATTCCAGGATGCTTATGTTTTAATCAGTGAAAAGAAAATTTCTAGTGTACAGTCCATAGTTCCAGCTCTTGAAATTGCCAATGCTAACAGGAAACCTTTAGTCATTATTGCTGAAGATGTTGATGGAGAAGCTCTCAGCACTCTAGTCTTGAACAGGTGAGGCTTAAAATCCATTCTTCTGGACAAATACTGCTTTTTTTTCTTATTTCCATCCTTTTAAAGGAGTACATAGAAGAGAGCATGTTTAACATTTCTGTAGTGTAGTGCTGTTTGTTCTCTTGTTTGTGCCAAAGAAACAGCAGCTTTGGACATCACCATACTTTGTGTCAACTCAGACAGAAACTCAGTTGTGTCCTAACTACTTTTTTGAGCAAAATCAGCTCAGTTCATGAAGGTGTCTTGTTTGCTTGATTGGTAGAGCTGTACTGAAATAATTGGATTTAGTAATTAGACTCGTTCTCTGAACACATGTGGAATGTTGCTCTCTGAATTTTTCTCTTCAGGCTGAAGGTTGGCCTTCAGGTTGTTGCTGTAAAAGCACCAGGTTTTGGTGACAACAGGAAAAACCAGCTTAAGGATATGGCGATTGCTACTGGTGGTGCTGTAAGTAATGGTGTTCTAAGTAGCTTTTTGCTCTAAGAAATGTTAATGATATTTAAGGAGGAAAATTAATGTGTATTTTTCGGTCCTTGGCTTGTATTTTATGAGCTGCAGGCTGTGTTCTGTCTTTCAAAAATGTAACAGTAACTCTAATATTAGAATCTTCCTGTTTTTTTTAAAATGTGGACACTGAAAACTGCTGTGTAATGCAGCCCTGGCCAACCATGAGCGGTGCATCCTTGTAACTGACTGAAGTCACACGTGATTTCCTTGCAGGATTTAGGCTGTTAAAGGGAAGGAGGAACTCCAAGACAGCATCTTAGAAATATAGCAAAGCTTTCTTGCTGCCTTATAAAACTGATTGTCTCACAATTGCCTGAACTCAAGTGTGGCAAATATAATAACTGAAAATGTGTAGAATTGACTGAATGGTTTTCTTAGCACTAAACTTTGCATGTACTTGGTGCACTGATTAATGTCCCTTTATGTGCCTTTTTGTTACACATACTTCAAAATCATGGCATGATACTGGGACACAAAGGAGGCTATTGAAATAAAACTTCATGTTTAAGCTAACTGCAGCACAAAGTAACAAACCAGCAAACTGTTCTAAAGTCTGTGAAGTGCCAATATTTTTAAAGTTCTCAAAGTCCACTGAGGTGACGGGTGACAGGACCTGAGGAAATGCCATGAAACTGTGTCAGGGGAGGTTTGGGTTGGATATTAAGAAGAGGTTCTTCACCCAGAGGGTGTTTGGGCACTGGAACAGGCTCCCAGAGATGTGGTCACAGCACCACATTTCAAGAGGTGTTTGGACAATGCTCTGTAATGGTGTAATTCGTGGGTTTGTCCTGTTCAGGGCCAGGAGTTGGACTTGGATGATCCTTGTGGGGCCTTTCCAACTCAGGATATTCTGTGAGGACTGTGTAACACTACTTTACTTCCCAGGCACTTTGAATCAGTGAGCTACACGAGTCAGGCACGAGTGAGAAGCTGCTCGTTTTCCATTCTGTGAGGGTCAGTTTGTGTGGTACCTGCATGCCTGGACTCCTTTAGAAGGGAAAAGTGTTGTTCAGCTGCAGAACTGTGATTATTTTGCACCATTAGCTGTATGTGTTCATGTGCCTATAGATAAAAAATTGATGTATGGGGAACCTGTGAATTCCAGCTTTCCACGTAATTTCTTTCAGGTGTTTGGAGAAGAGGGTTTGAGCCTAAATGTGGAAGATATTCAGCCTCACGACTTTGGTAAAGTGGGAGAGGTCATTGTGACCAAAGATGACACCATGCTTCTGAAGGGGAAGGGTGAAAAGGCTCAGATTGAAAAGCGCATTCAAGAAATTATCGAGCAGCTTGAGGTCACCACCAGTGAATATGAAAAGGAGAAACTCAACGAGCGATTGGCCAAACTCTCTGATGGAGTAGCAGTACTGAAGGTATTAAGAGACAATGAACTAAAACTGTGTTTGGGTTTCTTGACTGCTGAGGTACAGAAGGCTACCAGCATGGGAGAGGCTGGGTTGGCTTTCTGGCACTTGTCAGTGCTCTTGGTTGTTTAGTTTGGGGGCAGCAGTGTTCAGCCAGCAGTGCTCTCCCACCCGGGCTCCTCGTGTGGACCTTGACGTGTGCCTTGCTGCTTGTAGGTCGGCGGCACGAGCGACGTTGAAGTGAACGAGAAGAAGGACAGAGTCACTGACGCCCTGAACGCGACCCGCGCCGCCGTGGAGGAGGGCATCGTCCCGGGAGGGGGCTGCGCGCTGCTCCGCTGCATTCCAGCGTTAGATGCCTTAACCCCAGCCAATGAAGATCAGAAAATTGGTGAGGAAGTTACTGGAATGCGTGTGGAAGTTACTGGAATGCGTGTGGAAG